AAAATGTGTCAGGGACACACCTTATTAATTTTCATAACTCAACGTTACAGATAAATAATCAATTCTACATTAATTACGATTTGATTCCGCTGCCTGCTATTCCAGCAGTCCTACAACCTGCACCAATTGAAAAAAATCGAATCGAATTACTTTCTCTGGAAGCTTTAAAAGAATTCCATATCGACAACATAAGAAGAGTAAATATCCTCAAAACAGCAACAATATCCAATAGCTCACTTTCACTTGGAGCAGTTGCAACCACAATAATTGTCATTATAATTTTTTGCAAATTTTGGAAAAAGCACCAGAACAAAATAATAATATCTCCGATTCCAGAAACTTACCAGATTCCTTTGGCAAATATAAACTCAAATAAAACCAAGGAGCCCCCTAAAGATCAGAATACTTACATAAATTTCAACAACCTACCCTATTTTTAATAAACGCTCGAGGACGATCGTTTTTAAGAGGGGAAGTGTTAACATGGAACACGTTAACATTTGCTGATCGCCACTTTGAGTGATCAGCAAAAGCACAATAATAAGAGCGGAAGTGCAGCTTGGGTTGCACAACGTTTCCCACAGCAAAAGCCAGACGCACCGTCAGCAACAGGAAGCCACCGTCAACACGCGCAGCCCAGTTTGGCAATTCAGAGAATCAGCGTCAACGATTGGCCGGTGCTAGTAAGCTAGCTTTTAAGTAATTCCAATTGTAAAATTTAGTCTTAGTCTTGCTGCTTATCAATAAAGGTTGTCACAACCCAATTTTCAAAAATATATTTTTTTTAGGGATTTTAGTAGAAAATCCCGTAACTTACATATATACATACATATGTATATGTATATCGTCGTTTAAAATTCAAAACCGCGTATCAACATGATGCAAAACCGCGTATGTGAGGTTGCATAAATTATTTTGTAGAGAGTAAAAACACTCAAAATGGTTCTCTCTTTTATAAAGTAATCGCATTTCTAGCTAGTATATTTCACGACGAATGGGTAAGGCTTGAGCTAAGAGCTTCTGTGAGCAAATCTAAATTTTTTCAAAAAATGTCAGTTATGCGGTTTTGCAGAACAATGATACGCGGTTATGTACTTTAAACGACGATATGTATGTAACTTCCTTATGGTCTGATTATGCATACTTCGCATAACTTCGCACAAACTTCAAACTGTAATTTCGTATGCTTTTGCATGTATTTTGTATGAAATCAGCAGAACTTTTAAAAACTTAGCGATCTGTTCAGTTTAGATTTTGCTTTTTTTTTTTCTTAATTTATATTTCCACTGCACTGGTATAAATGGTTGTGCGAAGTTATGCGAAGTATGCATAATCAGACCTTTAGCCATCAGCCAGTTGGGCGAAACAAGCGTGAAGACAATGCCGTCAAATGCTGCGCATAAATTAAAAGTTCGTTTCAGTGAGCTGGGCACTTGAAATTCAAATTGGTTACAGGGCGACAGCAAGCAAATAAATTTTAATATCTTCCAGTTTTTTGTCTATTCAATTAGCTAAACTGCCAGTTTTTGTAGGATTGCCTAATTTGATTGGATTTTTTTAATATTGAAGTTACTTTTCTTTACGAAGAATCATTGTAACCCAAAATTATGCTAAGGTGCTATACAGCTCGTAGTGAAAAGATGGCGTAAAAACTTTTTTACATACATAGTATGTAATATGTATATAAATTAGACTGCATCACCAAAAAAGTTGCGGGTTTAAAATACCTCCAAATATGGAGCTTTTATGAATAAAAATCGTTTCTTAAAGAACTTATTGAAAAAAGCCCCTCAGATGACAAAACAGATTTGGCTTAAAAAATCTGCATAAAAATATTTAAAAAATTTTTCAACGGAATGGTGATAATGACGTTTTTGATACTGTTTTTTTTTACTTTTGTCAAAGATTTATTTATGAAAAACTTAAATAACTGGGCCAAAACTCTTTTTAGTTATGTGCAAAAAAGTTATTCGTGTCCGAATTTTTTTTTCAAATACCAACACATCTTAATCCCACTTTGAATGAGGTTCGTTCATCCTACCTTTCTCTTTCATAATTTGAATGAGCTTAATAGCAAAGAAATATTAAGGGTGAGAAAATACCTTTCCGATGATACCTCACAAGTCTAAATGGGAAGAGTTTAGGTTCAGTTATTCAAGTGTTTCTTATACCAATCTTTGAAAAAAGTAAAAAAAAAACAGCATCAAAAACCTCATTGCTACGATTCCGTTCAAATGTTTAAATATTTTTATGTATATTTTTTAAGCCTGAACCGTCTTAAAATATAATAGATTTTATAATTCCAATGGAAAAACTGTACCGATTTTTTTTTTGTATGGGGTGTAATGCAATCTAATGTACACAGATATTGGCCGTATTTTTTGCCAAATGATCGGGATCCGGATACAAATATTGCACGCGAATGCAAAAAAAAAAACGATGTGATTCTGATGGAGACATGAACCGTTCTGTTTGTTTTGTTTCATTGATAATTTGGCAACACGGTTTGCTAGCACTGACAAATTAGTTAAACACAAACAGGTATTCTGTTTTTTTTTTTAACCTGCTTCCAATAAATCACATTAGAATCGACTTTGTTTACTTTTCGCTTCTAATGGTAACAGAGTTCATTTAAATGTACTTTAGTGAGTTCACTCTTATAATATCTTCTTCCTCATGCTTTTAAAACTGCTATATAAAATTTGTGGTAATTAATAGCTATGCGCAGAATTTGTAGGGTTATGTTGTGGTCGCCATAGTCACATTTCTACCTAATATTTAAAAAAGCATAATCCTTCGCAGAAAACAAAATAAGGCTACGATATATTATTAGAAATCGAAAAGGGTTAATTTCATAACTATTTTTTCTTCTTCATATTTGGCGTTGTAACCGCCTAAGAAATTTTGGCCGAGTTCAACAAAGCACGCTAGTAGTTTCTCTTATGTGCCAACTGACGCCAATTGGAAATGCCAAGTAAGCCAAGTCCTTTTCCATTTGGTCTTTCCTTCATCCTCTGCTACCACCAGCGGTTTCCGAATTGAATACTTTCAGAGCTGATGTTCATTCGGACATCATGGAGAAGCCGCTGTTTTAGCTCATATAGCTCATCGTTCCATCATCTGCTGTACTCGCCGGAAATCTTCCGTAAAATCTTTCCCTCGAATACTCCAAGATCCGCTTCAGCGGCGAACTTTACTATTCCCGAATACATCATCTTTTCATGCCCAACATTTCTTCAAAATGATAGATTACATCTACGATTCCATATTTTCGTGTACGTTTTTACACATTCCAAAGAATTACTCATTCGGGAGAATTTTTTACTCATTCGGAAGAATTTTCGACCTTAAAGTGAGGAAAGTTTTTCTTTTATCCAGAGATAGATTTTTGGTTCCGTGTGTCTCGAATTATTTACTACTCGAATTATTGAAGAGCAAAAAGTGCTTTTTGAAAACAAAATATGCTATATTTATTTAATCAGTTTGTATCAGCTCATAAATAAAATCTGTTTTCTAATTTGTTACAATAATTCTTGTTTGAAAAAATGTTATCAATGAAAATTTTGCTATTGCCTAAGTGCAATAGAGAGCGGATGTAATCGTCTTAAATAAATGTACGATTACGACTAATGTTGCGTATATTTTCCATTTATCTATATATATAAAATTAAGTGGCAAAACTTCCTGTTCGCATACTCCTCCTAGACGGCTTGCCCGATATCAAAGAAATTTTCAGGGGTGATTGGGGTCTGTGTGGAGGGTGCACATAAGA